ATGATGAGCATTTTCTCTTTGGTTTATTGAATGTAAATTTCTTGTGAGGGACTTTTTGTGTATTTCTTCACTTAAATTTACAATGAAGATCAACCCAAGTAATTGCACTTATATGATGAGTAATCTCTTAGTTTACTATCATAAAAAAAACTTTTCTCATTAGAAGTAGTAACAGTTATTTTCCATTTGATGATGTAACACAGAGATTTGCTATGCATATAGGAATAACAAAAGAAGCCTTCTACAAACTAAATGCTAAGAAATAGGAAAATTGCAATAGAAACAGAAAAGCGCTGTATTGCTGTCATATCTATCCTGTGTAGTAATGAATGCTTGACAATTTCCTTACAGATGAAGGCAGATACTGAGAATACCATGGACAAAACACATGAGAAATTTCTAGATTCTGGGACTTAAGAGAAAGAATACCTTGGAAAATTTAATACTCACAGAACACAATGAGAGGGGAATAGATGGAGAAACTATGAACAACTTATCTAATATGTTTGTGCAAATGGATTGCAGAACAGGGACAAGAATAGATGACAGTCAAATGTTGCTTAGAATTACCAGAGAAAGTTGTGGCGAACACAGCACATAAATAATGAATGCTGTTAAGATACAAATATAGTCATTTGCTCGCCTGTCAATTCACTTTGAACTCGAATTGCATCATCACAGATTAAAATTAGCTATAATGAAAGAAAAGCAAACCAAAGTTGAAGCCGATTAGTAACTCTGAAAAATTATTATTATAAATTTGGTTCCAACTATTGAAATCTTTCAGTTTCTTGCTGTTGCTAACATCAATTGCTTCAAATGATACCTCCTTCAGTCTTTTTCAGGTGTAAGAAAAGGGTGGAGAGCAGTTATTAAACATTGAAGTGACAATATCAAACATTCAAAGGTGTTGTTCAAAGTAGTCTTGATGCCCAGTTGAAAAAAAAATGTTAATGACAAATCACAAAAGTAGACTTTTCCTACGATCTGCATGTTTGGCTCTCTTGTGCATTGAGAAATTGGGATAGACAAATACATATATTAGTCAATTTATAAGAAAATGTTCAGAATTTAAAAAAACAAAATTAATTTTTTTCATCACCAGATTGATTTAGTAAGTTAACAAGGCTCTATTATTAACAAATATTTATTTATATTTGTACAACTGCCCTCACCTTTATTTTATCTTTGGCCATTGTACGTTCAGCCTTTCTTAAAGTGTCTGACGATCTGGATAACCTTCAGGGAATTTCAAACTGAAGAAAAAAAAATGTTTGTTTATTGAGTCTGTTAAGAACCATTAAGCTTACAATTCCCCCACCTCACCATGTCATTAACTTTTTTTTAATTCAAATTAATGTTAGAAATTAGAATTAAAAACTCTGAATTTAAAACTACAGAAATGGTAGCAGGAAATCAATCCACTACGTTTCTCTGGAACAGTCATAGGAATTCAATATTTAAATTTAAAATGAAAAAAAATGACCTCTTCAATCAACAAAAGATTATAGTATTTAAATACTATTATCTAGATTAGTTAACTTATACTGGCATTATTTTCTTTTTTTTATCTTTTTTTTTTCTTTCATTTCATTCATTTTTAATCCAAGGCAGAAAAGGCTCCTTACATTTCTTTTTTCTTTTTTGCATGCATTTTTTTTATTTAATCTTACCCTTTTTAATTTCTTTATTATCCTCTATCTTGCTTTTTACTTTGATTTATATATATAACTTCCTTTCACTCCCCATCCACCAAATTAAAAAAAAATGTTTTTTGATATCCTTTCCTGTGTGAAAGCCTATTGAATCATTTCCAGCATAAATCCAAGAGGTCTTTAGTTGCCTGACTTTTCACAGGGCTTACACTGCATGTGGGAACATGCAAAGTGATGATAGGTTTACATCATTTTCTAACCACCTGAAACACTTTGAAAAGAAGTAGGTAAATGTTGGTGATCTCAAAAAAAAAAAAAAAAAAAAAAGATTTTGCTCCACTCTTCCTCCTAGCCTTTTAACTGTCCCCCAATTCGTACAGGAAAGGATAGTCAAAATGACGAATTTAGAAGACTGTAATTAAATTGTGTGTATGTGTATATATATATATATATATATATATATATATATATATATATATATATAATAATTTCTTCAATTGCTCAAGTGATTTTTTTTTTTTTTTTACAATTCCACTTGGATCTGGTATTATTTCAATAAGTAATAAGAATTTGTTAGCTCTTAATTAGTCTTTGTAAGTTTTTTCACATTTATATCAAACAGCTTTAACTTAATCAGCAATATATATAAAATTGGATTCTTTAAATAACTGAAATATCTAATATGAAATAGATTTGTGAATTTTTCTTAAAAACTGGAAAAACCTAAAATGGATTTTTCAAGTAACCTTTTCTCTTTGTTGTCCTTTATGCTATCCTAATAGGAAAAGGAACTATAATCATAAAACAGTGCATTGGGTCCCACTTAAATGGAGCAGCAATAAACA